TGAAGATGTAGGCAGCTTCAGACTGTTTTCTGTTTCAAATGAGTAGATTGTGAGAGGCCCAGCAAGGGGCAGAGTTTGGCCCTGCTTCTGGCTGGAGCAACTATAATTTGGATGCCATCTGTAAGGCATGGGGCATGGCAAAGGAAGGTCAGAGCCATGTGTAAACCCCTTGGCATCAGGACATTAAAAAAGGGCATTTATTACATCATTTATATCCCAACAAGTTGCAGCAGGTAAGACTGGGCAGACTCCCCTAGATGGAGGGGCAGCCAGTATGATGACCAGCCACAAGTTGGCATCTTTGTCACATGCTTGTGTGCAGGGACAAATGGAAGTTAATGAAGGTGCTCCACTTTGGAGCACCTTCATTTAAACCCTCATTAAATGAGGGTTAATTTATCATGCAATCGAGCACTTTTAAAGTGCTCTGAAACTGTGCACTTCTGTTAGGCCATGACTGTAGAGTACTTTCAAGAAGCCGATCACATGACAAATATCCCTTCTGTCAGCACCCAGTGTGCCTCACCTTATTTGTACTTGTCTTTTAGAATGCAAGCTCTTAAGGACAGAGTCTTTGCTCTGAATGCTTTAAATAATAAGCATGACATCAGCATTTACATTATAGATAACAGATAAACAATAAATAATAAAAATTGAAAGTTGAAATACCAAAGTAAAGGAAAGAATAATGCACAGGATTTAATGACTATAGTATAATTCAATCTACAATTATAATTCTTACATATATAATGTGTGATATATAAGATAACGCAATTTACAATTATATATGTGAAACATTATATAACACTACTCACAATTATAATTATCCTGTACACAGGGTGATAGATTTATATATTTTTTACTATTTTTTTCAAAGAAAGGTTTAAGAAAGCATACTAATTTCCCAAATGAGGGGAAAATATCACCCACTCAAATATATAATCCAATTAGAAGACAAATGTACTTTTTTTTTTTGAGATGCAGCTTTGCAAGGGAACCCCAAATAGAGTTACTCCAACCTAGGAGAGTTCCTGATCTCATTATGGGGCCTCAAGGATTTACATGAACGACTTTCAGTCTCTAGAATCACCCAAGAGCCTTCGCATCTACTGACTAAGAGCACTCTCATTCCTTTGAAAAGATTTATCAAACATTAACATAACAAAGAATCTGAACACATTTAATAAGACTCAGAGGTATCATCCTCGTTCTCTTGGGAGTGTCTCCATGGTGATACGTTACACAAAGGCTATAGTACATTTCATCAGCTCTGATAAAAATACTATACTGTACACCTTTTACTGGAGTGACCAACAGGATATACTTTCCAATTTTAAGTTAGGCATAAGGCAGGGTAGGTAGCACCATAAAGAATAACTGTTAGGTTGCATCCCTGACACAAATGCACAATTATGCAGTGCTTTTAAATAAAATGGAAATGTTTATAAAAGAAAGTGAAATTGCAGAAAGATTGAACGGTTTTCATATTTCATGAAGAACTTTAAAAGTGTGGCAAAACATGAACCATATTCCATAATTCTTTTTTTCTTGTGAGTGGGCTGACAAAAGCGCTTATCTGAGCCAACAGTGGCTTTAAAATTGAGCTTTAAAATATTTAAGTTCTTGATATGAAAGTTTATTTGAATTTTGTACAGAAGTCAAAGTACAAAAACTGCCCAAAATGAAGCAATGAAAAATATTCAGAGGCACTTTTGAAAATTCTAGAAAACTGTGGCTGGGATGTATGAATTGTGTCTTGTTGATCATGTTTTGTATGCTACTAAGCACAGTGTAAAATCAGGACATACACAAATAAAATGTCTAAAACCTTGTTTGGCATCTCAAAGTTATGGAATGCTCACATTTCCAAAATTTAGTCTAATAAAGTTTAAATTTTTTTCATCACCCAAACTACAATATGTTAGGCAGCTTAATGTCCTGTTAAACTAGGTTTTTATAAAATATACATAATTTTGAGAGTTGCAAAGAAAATGTCATAAATGATTAAGCAATATTTTTTTATATATATGCCTTGCATTTTTTTTCAAATGTTCATAATGGACCAAGTTGATGGGCCAAGACTTTCCATAAACTTCATTTCTACCTAACAAATGAAAATATGTGCCTGGGCTGCTAAAAATATTTTGGAGTCAGAAATAAAAGAATGAAAATATAGCAATAAAAATGGGAAGCAGAAAGTAGAAGGAAGGTAAATTTTTGGAATAATATACATTTTTGGTTATAATTTAATGTACTTTGCGATTTCATTATGCCTCAAAAGTATACAGAGACCCTCAGAAATCAGCGGGACTCAAATAAAGGACATTGATACGTGCAGGAAAACTCCTTTGAAAGAATGCTTTCTTAGAGATTGATTTTACTGGATTTATTTATAAGACTAATTCAATTAAATCAGGAACTACACATGTGAGTAATGGTTTGCAGGACAGGGTCTCTTGTTAAATAATGTTAAGTCTTAAGCTTTTAATCCTTGAAAGATAATGTGCATATGCCAACTTTATGCATGTTGAAGGTCACAATGGGCATTTCCAGTGTGTAAAATAAAATAGGCCTGTATATTTGGGCAAGATCAGAACCTTTTATTGCACCAACAAGCACCCCTTCTCAAAGTGCTCTCCTTCTGGGACAGGTGTCTATGACCCCTTGAAACCCAACATATTATAAGTACTGCCCATGTGCACAGTGGTCAGTACTAATGTGAACTGATACACCAAATATTTTTTTCATACCTTCTGTAAGACAGGCTTTTGGTTCTGATGTTTGTTCTGGCTCAACGTCTGCTTTTTCTTCTCCAGCAGGAACAAGATCAATTGTACTTCCTTCAGAGGAGCTTGAAATGTTTAACTTCTGTAAATAAAATCCCATAATAATGGTCTCAATTTTAAACAAGATATTAATTTTGAACTGCAATTAATATTAAGCATGCAACACTGTGTTCAGAGAATAACAAACAGCAAATATTAGTGGCTAACTCACCACTCCTGAAGTGTGTATATGCTGAATCTCCATGCTTGCATATGTGAGAATGGGTTATTTTACTTATGGGTTTTTTAAATGTTTGGAGTAAAATTAGTAAGGAGTTAGTGTCACTCAAATTCTGATTTTTATTAAATAGATTTCCTGATACGTATTTTATTTATTTGCAATTGTGTCTCATTTGGAATAAATAGTGCAATTCCACTTTAAGTCAATACATTTCACTGGGTGCATCTACACGAAATGCTAACTGCACAGTATCCTAATAACACTTCGCAGCAGCATCCCAGGCAAAGCCCATGCTAATACACTACTGCACAAAAGTATTAGGCTACTGCACAGTTAGTGTCTGTAAAAACCCGCATGCCGGCACTGATGTGCACTAGCATCAGTTACTGCTCATTTGATTTAGTACTTGGTTATTTAGTACGTAATGCACAGCGCATTTATGACTGTGTAGATGCACCCCCTCAGTATCCTACAACTGATTCCAACTTTCATTACGAGACTCTTCAACCTGAACACTTCAAATCCTGAAGAAAGACTATTTCAAATTGCCAGCCATCACGGTAAAATTATAAATCCAGTATATATATTTTTAAAGATTTATTTTTAATCAGCTGCCATTTTTAAAAGACGTTAATGTAAAAAGAAAAATACAAAATTACATAGATACTTTTTCTTCAACATTTCAACCCATACCCAAGGTAGCTAACTAGTTTTACATATCTGACAGAAAATGTATCAGTGGAATAGAATTACTATTGATTTGCCCATCATATAGATAAATATATTATGCCAATTTGCTTTAGCTATAATCTTAATGAGAACAAAATAGTAAAAGCAGCATCATATTCCTCAGTGTAAACTATATTTTGGGCATGCCGACATAACTTAGCCACTAGGATGAACTACTTAAAAAATACTGAAATGAAGTTCAATAATAGTATATGACTGCTTTATAGATGTATTGAACTATTATTCAAATTATGCTGTGAATGGCATATCCATTTTCCTGTTATGACCAACAGAAAGCTGCACAGAAAGATTTGTATGAGTAGAAAAATATAAATTGACAAATCTCTGTTTAAAACTTTTCTTAAACTGCAATCATCATTGACACATGAACACATATTATATTTAATAAAAAATACTGGTAGACTTCTGAAATTTCAGAAAAAGAAAAAAGCATGGTAACTCCACTTCAACGACAATTGTTTTGCATTCTCTTTTGACAATGCACATACGTATCATACTGTGCATTCAGAAACTACCTTTTACTCTGGTACACATACCTGTCCTGTCAACACATGTGTAATAAAATATTTATTTTCTTAGAGTGTTTAAATGATCTCGATGGTAGTTCTAAATGAAACTCATATTCAGATATACATGAATTTATTTGGCTGTCCTGCAATCACAGCACGACAACATATGCAGTACGATCAGAGTCTTCATCCTCCAGATTTTAAAGCAGCATTGCTTTATACAGTTAACTTCAGGTAAGTATGAGTACCAAATTAAATTATAGTAGTTTTAATTACTGCATTCTCTGACCTGTCACAATGTTATTACCATGTACTGTACAACATCAGTAATGGCTTCACTAATACAAAGCTAAATGTAGGGGAGGAATGATGTAAGCACATTTGTACAACATAGACTCAATTGCGTGAAAATGATACTAGCAATCATATCTAAAACACACTTGCAACATTAAGAGATACTTTCTGTATCCTGCTGCTTTCAGCAGATGAGTTAGAGACACTATTCCAATAAGTCTTTTTTAATTTAAAAAGAGAGGACAAATTCTGTACCACACAGTACAAAAATAATTTTGTTAATATAATTGAATCAGTTATTTCCTTATTTACTATTTTTGTACTCAGACTATGTGGAGAAATTGCCTCCAAATTATAAATAGGTTGATAAATGCCAATTTTAAATTTCACAAAAAGCATTAGTTCAAAAATATTGCTAGTAAATTCAGTCCTCAGTAACAATAAAATATTTTTGCTGACTCTATGGAAACTGAAGAAAATGCTCACTTCCTGCATTACACAATTTTCTTAAGACTTTGCTTTCATCATTCCATCATGGATAACATTTATATAGCAAAATGCTGCAGCAACGACAGGCTAAACAAAACATATGAACTGGATTATAAAACAAATCAAGCTGTCAAAAGCAAGGATCAAATTTTTAAAAAGAAAAGCATAAAAAACCCCATAAAAACAACACGATACTTTGGATAACCATATTATATCAATGAGCAAAAACTTATTATAACAAAAAAAAAAGCCTCTTGTCACTGAAACTGAGCTGTTCATTAAGCAACTCTGGTAGACACTGCTGAATTCAAGGCTGAGGACTATGGATCTAAAGTTTCAGCTCAGTAAAAGATGAGCAGTCACAAAAATATCTCAGCATCAGTGTTCATGTGATACGTATTTAACATATAGTAGATAACTGTAGAAATTATTTTATATTTCTTGTGTTACATTATATTTACAAAGTACTGTATAAGAGTTTTCTTTGTAATATAGATCTATGTAAAAGCACAATGTGGTACAGTTCTCCAACCACCTCTAACACCAGTTGCAAGTCCAAAACTAGGTGAAGGCAAAGCTCAGAAATGTCAGGACATGTACATTTTGTTCACTTTGATTGTACTTGTATGAGGCACCAAACAAAATCATCATCTCTAAGGTGCCTACCAGCAACTGCTGGGGTGAAACATTATCTGTATTTATAGTTTTGAATGTATACACAATAAATATTTTATTTATAAATACATATATAAATATAATACATATTTTTTCTCTATGTGTATCTAATTTAATTTGTAAATTTACAAAAAAATTAAAAGAGAACATAGTTCTAAATATGAAACATTCAGAAAATGTTTCAATTATTGTCTTCCCCTGACCAACATCCCACATCAAACTTTCATCCATGGCTGTAATCTTTTCTTTATATATTGTAAATAAAAAAAAGTTTACATGCTGATAAACTGAAATACTATTACTTAATTATAGGCTGGATCCCATAGCCTAAGGCCAAGAGAAAGACCCTATAACATTTCATGTATTGCCTTACATTTATGACCTGCACAAAATCTTAATTTATCCCCTTCAAGGCAAGTTGGATAAAACACTCTACCTCACCTTATTCCATTGCCTCTGTAAAAACTTCTTGAAAAGGCAGGACATTATTTTGTCATGACAATTCTTTAGATGATAGTCAGAACCCCAATGCCATTAAGAATACTCAAAAGACACACCTGAGAATCTTCCTACACCCAATGTAAGTGATGCAGGACTGTACAAAAGTCCACATGACCAAGACTTGTTACTTGCAGAAGGAGTACTTCAGTTTCCATCAACTGACAGCAAGTTGCGTTCTACCACCATTATGATGAATATTAATGAGGATAAAACTTAAATAACAGTTGGGTAAAACCTTTAAGTATTTCCACTAGATTTCCTGCATGTTACATCTTTTGACCTAATACCTTCTATTTTTCTAACTCCTATACGTTTGTTTGCAATCTTAACTCTGAATCTCAAGTATTTCTTTTTTGTTCTAATTTCTACATTGTGATAATAGTGCTTTTCCATTCTGACAGTGGTCAGCAGACTTTTTAGGATGTAGGCTGGAGTAACCCAGTTTGGACCAAAGGTAGCTAGGTCTAGGTCCTAGCTTCTGCTGCCACTTTCCCTGTGGCGGCACAGGGAGAGGGCCCACAGCTGCCACTTCACCTGCGGTGGCATGGAAAAGTGACTACTGCCAATGCTCCCTGCTGCTAGAGCCCCATGTCTGTCAGCTGGATCCAACGGTTCTGTGGGCTATAGGTTGCCAACCTCTGAATTTCTATATATTTATTTACACCTTATACTCCATGTAAAATTTTATGTTTGGGATTATGTTTATGTCTGCCTATTTGAATAATCTACTGGACTAAGTTTACAGGAACACATTTAATCAATGAAGAACAAAGTTATTATGGATGTTATGATGGAGTTAACAGCTCCTGATTTTTCAAACATCCACATTCCCAACTCTGTGCTATTACGTTCAATGGGACTATCTAAATGCATACTGTTAAGCAGATGGGAGATATCTGCAGGGTTGGGATCTTTAGTGCCAAGATTTGAGGGAAAAACTGTAACCTAAACTTAAAACTTAAAACGAACTAAAGGAATAGTCAACAGTTTCTAACAAAAGATCAACCTAACGCATTTTAGTATCCATACAGTTGAGTTCATTATGAAAGTAACACTTTGTTACAAGATAGTTGGATGTTTGGTTTAACTTAATAATGAATTAAAAAGTCAAGAGATCATCTCTGTAAATTTAAAAAATGATCCTGATAGCTTCTTTTAACCTTGAAAATTATCACTTTATAATCCAAATTAAAAATATCTATATAACATGCAACTCATATCACTGAAGTGCTATACAAGAAGTACCAGGATGATGTAACAAGGAGAGACAGAATCATGTTGGGGTTGCCCCCTGAACATGCTGTGATGTAGGTCACGTGACTGCTTACAGAGCAGCTGTGCATGTTTCTATTGTACGGCAATGGATGG